AGTGTGTGTGTGTGTGTGTGTGTGTGTGTGTCGCTTAAGCACCAGCCAACAAGCACAGCTGAAAGGTGTCACCGAGGCTCCTACGCCTCCTCTAACAGTCACTGATTCAGGGGGCGCTTGTTTTTCCTTTTTTCTGTGTTTTTTTTGGTGCATCCTCAAGCTGCTGGCTTTAAAGGAACATTCAACAGAAATGTGTTATGTGTTCCACATCCAGTAGGTTGTATCCTGCCCGGTTCAGAAGGTATTACACACCTCAGAACGTCAAAGTCACCGACACCTGAGGGACTACTTTCTCATGTCTGTACTGTAGGTGAAAGAGGGAGTGATAAGGCTGATTTGTGTGTACAGGGCGAGGGGTGGTACATATACACTCATTTTAATGCAGTGTGTACACCCCTGTGTTATTCTTCCACCCTTCTTCTTCCCTGCATTGTCCATTTCAACGTATTGATCTTTTACACATATTTTTCAAGGTATCTTAATTACTCGCAAAAGAAGCGGCGCCTTGGCCAGCGGACAACACAAATAAGTTAATTTGCATTTCTGTGTTGTGAGTGTTTTGGCAGGCGCCGCGCCGGTCCAGATTGTAACCCCTATTTCTGCCTCCAAAAACCTGCCTTGGAGGAGCGTCCACGGAGGGATTAGGGATTTAGTGGGGAAGGTAAGTGTGACTACAAGCTTTGGCTCGCCATCTGCTCCCCAGCAGAGTTGAGGCCAACCTGTGCAGCCTGCAGCAAAGACCTGGGCACTGTGCTAACCGCGGTCTGAGCCAACCTGGCGCCCGCGGCCCCAATCACCAACAGTCTGCTGATTAGTTGTAAGAAGCACTCCATATGTAGCAAAGTTTTTTTTTTTCCCCTCCTCTCTCCTCCTTTTCTGTCCGTCTCCTTCCCTTCCGTCCTCTCCTCCTTATGTATTCCCTCACCACATTCAATAAATATGCATGTATGGAAATGTTATTCATGTTATATTGACTTTTTATCACCAATCAATCTAGATTTCAGTTGTATAGCTTGTTTTACAACATATCATATTTTATTCTCTATTTAGATAATCAAACGTAAGTATTAGTTTGGTTTAAGTGCTTGATAAATATATTTAATTACATTTCAGTCATTTCACTTTGTAATTTTACTCTCTAGTTCAACCAGGTTAATCATCCCTTTATCAATATTATATTGTAAGTACTAGTCCTTAAATAAATGTACCTACGTCCAGATTTCTTTTGCTGCACATTTACCTAAAAATAAACATTACAGTTAAATAATAAGCTATAAAGATAAGGTAAAATACATATATTAGAACAAACATAACTGAGTTAAGTAATATGTCCAATTGAAGATAAATACAATCAAATAATACGATCATATGACCACAGGAAGTTACAGAATTTGCGTTGGGAAGAATGTGTATTCACCTTTACAGCTTATAAAATCCTATCAATTAAATTGCACCTATTGAACTGAAATGGTTGTTTTAGTGTGATTTACTCAACTTTAGCCCATAGGTGGTTGAAAGCTGTATTAGATATGTTTCCATCCCTGTAATACTGCAACAAAGCAACGTGTCATTAAATTAAGATCCTCAAGATTCCACCTTTTATTGCCCCTCTCTTTCTGTCTGTGTCCTTCCTTTCCTTCCTCTCCTTATGTATTCCCTCCCCACATTAAATAAATATGCATGTATGGAGTTTTTTTTTTAGCATTGAGTAGTCTGGCAGGGCAAAAACGAGTCTGTTCTTCTCTCTCTTTCTCACCTCTGACAGAATACCAAGCCAAGGAAGGGAAAGATGAAGAAGGAGAAATCCTGGCTGTCCTCCTCTCTCCGTCTCCTTCCCTCCCTTGCTCTCTTTTGCCTGGCAGCGCCGGGAGACAGATGACAAGGGTTTGTGGCCGTCTGATCACCCCTGGGTGGGTATTTTCTAATTTATTTAACGGCAGCTTATTAAAGAAAAAACAAGATGAAGAAGAGGAGGAGGAGGAAGAATGGAGAACACAGGCGGAAGGCAGGTCTCTCGCCCCAGTGGCCAGGGGAGGCAACCTAGCCAAGGAACAAACCAACGAAGAAGAAGAGGATGCACCGAGTCCCCTGGTAGAGAAACCAGAGAAGATCAAACGACACCGGAGGAGGAGGAGAGGAAAGGAGGGAAAAAACACAAGAAACATAATGCTCATTATTTAATTGCAGCCATTCGTGTTGCCAGGAACCTATTCCTCAGTATTAATTATTCATATTTTATTTCAGTAATCCAATACTCAGGTGAGAGCGGCTGCTCTTGATAGAACATGTAATTTGGAAGCTTAATGGCAGCAGGGCGGCCTGAGCCAGGGATTAGAAACTGAGGATAAATCACTAATGGCTCCGCGATCGTACGCCGCCTTGAATCCGTCTTGCTTTGTGTTTACTTGTGTTTTATTGTTGCTCCGAGGGAAACACTTTGCCGTGACCTTTCCCCGCGACGCCAGAGAGAGAGACAGAGGGTGGAGAAGAATAAAAAATCACGCTTTCCAGGCAAAATAAGACGGTGTAATTTCCTGATTTGTCTAAACAAAGAGTTCATCAGCATCTCTCTCCGGTTGACAGTGAATATACAGAAGCAGAGAGCAGCGGGGGCCTGACATGTTTGCAAATGCACACATGGCCTGATTCATACAAATTATGTTTTTCAAGCAGAATAGCACCATCACTTACTTTTGATCCGATTAGCTTTCCGTTCTCCTTGTTTTCCTCCCGCTGCATGAAATTCATCTCCTCTTCACCCCAACACCTCCATTTGTCTGCTTGATGAAACACTTCATGATAATAACAATTTGTGGACTTTTTTTTGGGGGGGGGGATTATAAACATACAGCGTTTTTGTCAGCTAACCGCGAAGCCTGAGGCTGTCTTTTTTTATGTTATGCTCCCACATAAATGTCTCTGTCAGCTCGCTCCTTCACACCATCCAAAAAAGGAAATCTTATATATCATGTAATGTTTCTGCAGTCCAAAAACATTCATCTGAAATTATAGGGTTGCCTCTGGGTGGGGTTTGCTTTTAAGCTTTGAGCCTTTGCAAAGGAGCTAGGCTAGCAGTTTCCCCCCGTTTACAGTGTCTGTGCTAAGCTAGGCTAACTTTCTGCTGGCTGTTATTAACCATACATATATGGTGTCAATCTTCTATGGTGTAACTAATCTTATTCATTCTGAGATACAATATCATCTTCATTTAATATTGACCCACATGAGAAGTGTATTGTAATGATGCGGTTATAAAAAGGGTGATATTAGACACCCCACGTTCTTGAGGAGAACAAGGTGCTGCCCAGCGTTTAGCCCCAAAAGAAAAAAGACAATTAGGTCATAGAGTCTGCACACATCTTGCATGCTCTCTGCTCTCCTGCAATTTGGGCTAAAAAAGTAAAGGTCAGTCACGTTAGTCAGATTGCGCTCGACACATTCTAAAAAGGCTCGCTGGTCACGCCGAATGTATTCCCTGCAACATAATTAGCCCCCTCTATTCCCTGTCGTGCACGCTACCGGGTGTCTCAAATGCCCCACCCCTTCCCCCAAAATGCCTTTCACCTCTGCTTGCTCTCTCTCCTCCCTTCCATTTCCCTCTCACCGCTCTATCACACATTGTTGCTCCCCTAAACTTGCTGCAGATGCGATGGGCTGATGCATAAATTAGTCATCAACATTAGCATTAGCCGGCACGTGGCACCCGGTGCCAACTGCTCTCCGAACGGCCATAAAAGGTCATGTTTTGATGACTGAATGCCACACAGGCACCTTGGCTCCCCGGAGGAGGGTTCCCCAGGTGCACGTGAAAGGTTAAAAATTACCTACCCGCCGCCGCCTGTCTCTGGCGAAGGAAATAATTAGGGGGTTTTTAGGGAGCGGCAGAATGCCTCGCTGTCAGATGACAGAGCGTTACCTAATGGTCGTATCTGGGGAAGAGTCAAGCGGCCTGTCATTCTCTTGACAGGACAAATGAGCATAATGGTGGCAGGGAAATGGGAGCCTGTTCCCCCCTTTTTTCTGCCAGGGAGGAAGGGGGAGGAGGAAGGGGTGAAATGGCAGTGCCTGAGCAGAATAACACAAGGACGTTAACCTTTTACATAAATCTGTTAACACGTGTATGAGTGCTGTTTAAAAGTGAGGCTTGATGCTCTGCCCCTCCAAGTCTTTTACGGCCTGAATTAGTTATAATATATGTTCACCACACTACTCTTCGGGCAAATAAACCTACATCTGTCCTGAATCTGCAAAGGAATAAATCCCTAGGTAAAAATAAGTTGTTTCAAATTCAACTCCTGTCATATGTTAACATGTTTAAGAAGAAAGTGTTTCAGGGATTCAAGGCTTGTATTGTCATGTGTGCATAGCTACAGTGTTGTTATGACAATGACAATCTTAGGTGACAGGCTCCTCCAACAGTGCAACACAATAAAACTGATAAAATAGTGCAAGTAAATAAAATAGAATAGGAAATAGTGCAGAATAGAAATAGGTATGATATGATGGTTTTATGATATACAGGAAACGCAATGCAACATCAACCATGGCGAAGTGTTTCAGGCAGCACTCAGAGAACTAATCGATAGGACTCGGTCCACCATCCAAAGCAGAAGGTGGCAGTAGTGCACCGTAAATGTTGTTGCCACTTGCGGTTAAAAAGCAATAGAAGAAGAAAGTAGGAAGTAGAAAGATATTCACATGGCAGTAGCTTAATCAAAGAAGTGTGTTCCCCTACGCAGATATGTTTCACTGCACCTGTTTCGGTGCATTCATCTCAGTGAACTCATACACACAGACGTAGAAAAAACAGACAGTACAAATGATGATGTTTGGAGTGATGCATGAAGTTCAAGGTTGAAGTTCATGTGTGTTGAATTCCCCAGAGTGAGGCATCACTCCTGCCAGGGCTGGGGGTTTAAATCCCCCTGAGCAAGGCACTAACAGCTGGGGTTAGAGGTGAGACAAGGCCAGTGTTTAAAGGGTAATTTAAACTTATCGGTTCAGGCACAACTACTACAAATATTTATCAACTGGGCCAACTTTGAGTAAAATGACATGCAGTTCTTTGTTGTATTTCTTTAGTTTTCAGTCTGATTTTCTCTTTTGTCAAAGGTCAGAAGTCAGGAGCATCACTACTCCCAGATGTCCAGCCTACCTGACACAGGAGCTCCATGAAGTTTCCTCAGATGCTGTTTTGGTAAGCACCGTTTCATCGGATCTTTTCTTCTCCTGTTCATCCTTAGTTCTGTCTTGTTATGGCTATGTACATATAGATATGTGTGTGTGTGTGTGTGTGTGTGTTCACGACTTAAGGACTTGTTTCCCATCAACATGTATACCGTTTTGTCAACTAGAAGTATACGTTTATTTATATCGCCCAATATCACAAAATAGTTTGTCTCAGTGGGCTTTACATATTAGCAAACATAGATGACAGTGTACAAGATAATTAAAATGACAAGAAAATGATAAAAGACATGATAAAAAACAAAAACAACTAATAGATTGCCATAAAATGTAGGACTCAGAAGGACACACATAGTGGGTCATTTTAAACCTGATCTAACTATAGGCTTTATAAAAAAGGAAAGTCTTCAACACACTCTTCAAAAGTGGACACTGTCTGCCTCACTAATAGAAACAGGAAGTTATTTCCAGAGAAAGGGAGCTAGCTGAACGCTCTGACTCCTGATCTGGTTTTACGGACCCTGGACATGCACTCTGGGTAATACCCTAGAGTAGCAGGGGATTCAAATATCTTTCTGGTATATATTATGTAGAATGATGTGTGTTAAAGTGACATTAGGGTCGTGTTGTGGTGCAGCTCAGGTGGATGTTTGTCTGCAGGCGGCTGCTCCTCACACCTCCCATTATCCTCCGAGGTGCACTTTAACAGTTCCATTCTTCCTGTGCCACATCCTGCATGTTAACACAGGGGTTATTAACATAACAAACTTAAATGCCCTATATAAATAATATGTTCTGCGAAATGCAAAGCGGCTCAGCTGACACTGTTTAGGCAGCGCCTCCAACATCTGTTTATGAGCACTTTGCCTAATGATATCATCCGATATCATTAACTGTGGCAGTGCGCGCCACAGCAGCAGGTGCAGCTGTTTATGCCCCCCCACCCCCAACACCTCCCCAGCACACATACACACACACACTTGAAGAGAAAAGACTTTCACAGTCTCCTCCAACACCAGCACCACCTCCCCTCCACCCCGCCAATCGCCAAACCGCTCATTAGGACAATTTTCCTCAACAAAAAAGCGGCCCCTATGATTTCAATCTGTATATCACCTGTAATTGTAGTTTTTAGCCAGAGCCTGATTCCATACATTTAGCGGGAGTAAACTCCGGCTGTGGGTTCGAGCGCTGAAAGCCCCTCGCTGCCGCCAGCTGCAGAAGCTGCTTTTAGATGGCAGCGTTTCCATAGGCCTCCGTGTGTGTGTGTGTGTGTGTGTGTGTGTGTGTGTGTGTGTGTGTGTGTGTGTGTGTGTGTGTGTGTGTGTGTGTGTGTGTGTGTTTGTGTTTCCTGGAGTGGGTGGAGCCTGGCGTCCCCTGCTTTGTATTCCTTGCTCTGTTTTAACTGCTTGAAATTATAGAAAATTATTGAAATTATTTTATCTGGCAGCAACAATGAGGCAGCTCCGTCCTCCTGACCGGAAAGGCCGCATTCAGGTTCTCTGAGTCTGATCTGATCGCGCGCTGCTGTAATTAGTCAGATGGTGGATTCAAATGTTGTGCCACACGGAGCTATATGCTGCATTAGCACTGTACCCCAGGCCAATACTGTATTTATAGCATGGCAACATGTAAACTGGCTGCAGGAGAACTCTCAGCTGTCAGGTGCTCCATGACATTCTTTATTGTCACACTTTGTGCAAACTGGTCACAATATTTGTATTTAGTTCTATTAAGGTTTGGTAGGGTCAAGTTCTTCTGCAAAAAGAGTCATAGCTGTGTGTCAATGTGTCTAATATCTGAGTAGAACCACTTGCTATCAGCTTGGATTCGGTGCTGCATATTTTAAAGGCAGTTATTCTTTGAATGCATGTTCGGTTTATCTTCCATGGTCCTGATCTCATATCAATTAGTGATGAGTCATAAAAGCTCTGAGAATGAGCTTTCGCAGTTGTGGTCTTGGTGGGTTAAGGGCCCGGAATAACCTGGTATGGTCCTCAGAAGAGCCCAAAATGCTGATTATTTAGATTAAAAGTATTGAATATGAGGCCTAAAAAAGTGTTTTTTATGCACTAGCAATCACCAAATGAATGTATTGCTCCTCACTTTGAAGGCTCCAGCTGCTTGTAGTATGTTTTGGCTGCATTTGGTGTAATTATCCTTTAAATGAATGCATGTTGGGTTAGGGTTGTCTTCCATGGTCGTGTTTTCAATTCAGTTGCTAGCGAGTCATTAAAACTATGAGAAATGAGCCTTTAAAGCTGTGACTTCACTGCGTTAAGGGATACAAACATATCCTGGTACTTATTATAATTTGTTAAGAGTTAATATTTGTAGCAAAACCCAGCCTGAAAATGCTAAAAATTATGGTCAATATAACTTGTTTTGGTAGTTACAGTTGTTGTTTAAAAGAGTCCAGTCAATTGGTGTTCATTTAGAATAAAACAAATAATATGGAGTCATCCCAGATATGTCATTTCCAGTTACTCTTTGATACTTTTTTAACCGTAAACATCTCGTCTTGTGCGTTTCTTCCTCTGCGAAAGTGAAAGCTCTGACAGTTCTACCCGGAGACGTTGGCCCCCAGAGGAAGAGTTTTATTTGCAGGCAAAGACCCCGACACTGAACCCGCTCTGAGCACCGAGGGCCAGCAGGGAATACACACAGACCACACACACACACTCACACTCACACACACACACACACACACACACATAATGGTGTAGTTCACAGGCTCATATCTTCACTTGTTAATGCCGTTTACATGAGCACACACGGAACAAAAACACACATACGACAGATCAAATATATCCGAACGTGAGAAAACACACATGTACACAACACACACACACACACTCCTCCAGCTGTTCTCTAAATGTTGATTACACAAGACACCGGGGGGAGCCTTCTCCTCCCCTTCCTCTCTTCCTCCTCTGGTAGCCGGGCGATCCCCTCCCCCCCCCCACGAGGAGGCTGAGCGGGACAGGCTGACCCGAGGTGCTCAGTGACCCGGGGTCTGGGGTCCAGAGAGGGCCGTGGCCCCGGGGCCTCTTGGCTGGGCTGCCTCCCCCTCAGCTCTATGATAGGATGGGAGACATGGGCAGAGACAGCGAGGCCCCGGGACAACTGGCCAAGGAGCAAAAATATAAAACATTAAAATCATAAAAAACTCCTCCGCTGTCGGGATGCTCGGGTAACTTTGTGTCAAGTGAAACGGAGAATTAAAAGAAGATGATTTTTATCCGACGTGAATATTTGCAGGCGTTGGAGGCTCTTATCCAGCAGGAGAATAAGATTAGAGAACACGAGGCGAACACTTTCCATCAGTCTAGATCAGGGATGGGCAACTTGGATGATGGTGGGGGCCACATAATGTATGTACTGTCCACCAGGGGGCCGCAGATTCACTTGGAATACACACACACACACACACACATTGCATGTATTGTATGTAATTATTAACAAATTAAGTCTGAAATCTTCATTGACATTTTACAATATTTCAGGGAACATCCTCTAAGAAGCTCACTAAACAAATAAGTTCACAGAAATGTATTTAATTTTTAGAAGTGGCATGTTTGTATTGAACAGGTTATTTAACAGTGGAATAAAACTATTGGAAACTATTGGAAAGCACGGAAAATGTGTGTGCATTAAGATTAACCATTAAGATGACATAAACATGAAGTCATGAACAGTAACCCAGACATTAGTTGTCTAACTTGAACCTAAAACACTTGAAGCCTGTCTCTGCATTCCCCTTATTCCACAATAAGGGGAATGTCAACACGGCCACACTCTGCTGAACCCGCGACGTTCTGCTGTCCCTCCCTCCCGTTGATAATTATGAATGAAAAAGCGTATAGTAATCATAGATAACCACCGGCAGGCTCCGTGACAGTTTTGTTTTCATCTGATTTCCAAATAAAAACAAGGTTTTTAGAATATTAAACTTGTTTCGCCAAATTCAGATGATACATAAAGCTTTGGAAGCTTGTAAAGGCATAATTACAAAGAGGTAACTTAACGTCAGCAGCAGGCATAACAACAACCCGGTGTTTTCTTGTGGACGGTTCTCCGGGAAACAAACACAGATACACACAAGACTCGCGGCGCGCCTCACAGATGGAAGTATGCGGTGTGTGTTGTGGTATTTGTCTG